ATTTTCTCTCGTGTGATATAGCCATAAATCTGGTAAATGCTAGCATTGGAATACGACAAGAGAGAGAGCACCATTACAACCTTATGACAGCTTGTTTATTGCTACTCTGAGTGTTACAAAAAACTTACGGTAGATGGCGCTGGAGTAAAGATGCAACACCCTTAGGATACACAATAGGCCCTATAGGTTACAATGTATGTTTAGATAATAGTGTGTTAAATAGCGTTAAAATGAGGAAATTCGATGTCAATTTTCTGTATTTCAACATGGCCCAATAACTCCCCTTAATATTGAACCATAATATTCAAATTGAACCTCATATTATATTACCCGGTCAACACATGAAGATTTTCCAGCTCTTCAATGCCCATTACCTTACGAAAAACCGATATGTCTAGTTAAATAATTAATTTTCTTCTGACATTTTTGAAAAATGCTAGTTGTAAATGGTTAAAAAACCGTATAGTTTTGAATTCATGGTCTTATAACCATACTTTTTGTTAAAGGTTTCAAAACCATATAGGAAAAAATTTTCTTTACCGCAACCTTTAGGGTTAATCGGAGGGACAGACTGCTGCCAGTTATTTTACTATAATTTTAGAAAATAAGTGTTCCTTAATAGTGTATTTTGTTAGAAACTCTTCTTCAGTAAAATCTAGTAATTTCATGTTTTCGGCCACATTTTTACAATTATCAAGAAAAATAACAAAAATCTTGCTACATTTTAACTTACAAAAGGATATTAAGACTATCTGAATGAAAATTTAAAAGTCAAGAAATTTAAATTTTGTCATAAAATTTTTAATTAAATCGTTGACAATTTGCAAAATATTGCGACAACGCAAAGAAATAATCATTTACTATAAAGATAATAAATAAAGCACTGAATAATATTTGCAACACATAGAATATGGAATAAGAAATTGATTTTAAATTGAGATTGAAAAGGAACCACAATTATTAATCTTGATGTAGATATATATTATTTTGAATCTCTGTCAAATATATATAAGTCTTAAAATATATAAAGTCATAATTTAATACTCAATCTGTCGAATCACAGGTGAGGAAAGCGGAAGGAAAAATATCAAACTGGTTTGATTGCCGGATAAAACTTGGAGGTTTTTCTTAATACTAATCGCATTTGTTGTTGTAACTTTCTTGTTCCTTTTGCTCCCATTGTAAGACAAACTAATAAGCTTCAATGTTTTCATTTCAGTTTTCTCCAGTGATTCTTTAGACTTCGATAGCGTTTATGATTTTTCCTCTTATAAATATTAATTAACGAGCCCTAATGTACCTACTTTTTTTCTTCATTTCTTACCAATATTCCGGAAAAAAGTATTACGGACAATTGATGCAAGTCACTCTGTAGTATTCAAATAAAGACATTTTTTTAAAGAAAATTGCAAGTATTTTTTAAAAATTTTTTTTTTTTGCTGTGGAAATGTTGTTTGTGATATTTATTCAATTGAAATGTTTATATGTTAAAGCTCTTTGTTAAATACATTATTTTATTAGTTCATTGAGGTTATATTCATGTAACATGCTTAAAATGCACGTAACTAAAAAGCGAAAAATAAATAAATTACGGGATATATATTAATAAGAATGGAATAATCCAATAAAAAAAATCGAAGATGATAATGACCTAATAAGTAAATATGTTAGTTCAATAGGTTATGATTATATAGTATGTTAAAGATAGAAATAATTATATATTAAAAATAGCGAAAAAAATAAAAAATAACGGAAGGAGGAAAAATGAAATAAACAAATTTAAAACGAACTAGTTATACTAAAAAAGCCGAAATGATAATAAAGATAGGTATAAATAAGTTTGACAAATGACGCTTGTTCTGTAGCAACCTTCACAGCTTTCCTCTAGATGGCGCAATCTCGACAAATGTATCCCTAACATTTGCGCTGAAAAGGTTCTTTTCAGGAGAACGTTAGTGAGGGGGGGGGGAAACGACATCCGCAGACCCTTTTCCCGGATTCCTGTTGGGAAAACTGATTTACAACGAACTGGACATAGTTTCCGTCACCCCCATTGCTTTTCTCCTTATAGGTCGGACGGGAAGACTTTACGGCGTCTTAATAGTTCTTTCATTTGAGAATATTTCTTGATATTTGCGTATGAAAACGATATAAAATATCCGGTTCCTGAAAGGCAATTTTTTTTAAAATTAAAAATGAAAAAAACTTAAAGCAAAAGCTTATATTCGTAAAATTTAAAGAAAGTTTGAAAACAAGGAAAACAAATATTTGGGATCAATTACAAATAAGATGCTGACATTAAAATATTTAATTTGAATTTGAGATGGGATGTTTCTTACGGTGTTTTAAAACCTGTTCTATGTTCAACCGTTATATATTCTTTTAGATATTTAATCACGTAAGGATACAAAAAAAAAAAAAAAAAAAAAAAAAAAAAANAAAAAAAAAAAAAAAAAAAAAAAAAAAAATTAAAAAAATGGCTCAAAGTGCGGGTTCTGAATACCCAAATGAAACCTCACAAAACTTAACTCAAGAGTATGAGCAACCAAGAACGAGCACTCCCTCAAAAGAGGAGGGTTCTCAAATGGGACAAAAAATGTTTGGTGCAACTTTACACCCTTCAAAAAGAGAACATTTTTATCATCTTTTGTGGACTAATAAACATGTGACGGGGACACTATGTGCAGTATTTTGGTCTTTTGGAATGTGTGTTGCTTTCCTTGGACCAACACTTTTGGATTTGGGTTGCAAGACAAATACAGTATTTGCAACCATGTCATGGGTATTCTTCAGCCAATCTTTGTTCGTACTACTTGGTTCAGCATGTGGTGGAGTTCTCGTACAAAGGTAAGAATGTATTTTTTAAGTATTTTAAGCAGGGTAATATAAATTATATTTTATTAATAGTACTGTAACAAGTACTTCTTATTACAGCAATTTAAATTTATATAAATACTTTTTCAAGAAGGAAAAAACCTGAAAGCATATTTTGTTCGCTGTAGTTTATTAAAATAACGCAAATTCCTGCACATTAAATGAAAAAAGGGAAAATAAATTATTTTTTATTCAAAATGGTTTAACAGTACAAAATAACACAAACTCCTGCTGATAAAATGAAAACAAAAAATTATATTTTATTTTCAGTGATTTATCTTTCAAAAAGACACATTTTCCAGTACATTAAAGGAAAAAATGAAAATAACTTATATTTTGTTCTAAGTAGCTTAACTTTCAAAATAACACAAATTCCTGCACATGAAATGAGAAAAAAAAATTAAAAATTAAATATATTTTATTCTCAGTAGTGTAACTATTAAAATAACACAAATTCCAGCGCATGAAATGAAGAAAAAAAGAAGAAGAAAAAACCCGCCCTCTAACTTAAACTGGAATGTTGATGGAAATGTTTACGTTTAATTTACTTTCTGGTATCAAAATATTTCAGATAAATTCCATAAAATTGTGAATTTATTATTCAGTAGTTATGTTTTAGAAGAAAAGGAAAGAATAAAAAATAACTCGAATTTCGTGAAAAATAATACAAAATGTAAGAATACAATCTGCACAAGAATAAGATATATGTCAGGTTGATTTTTAAATGATCCCCATTAAATTAAATATATTTAATATGTGCAAGAGAAAGAAATGAATCTCGATACTCGGAAAGAACTTTTTACCAGACACTCCTAACAATTTTACCAGAAATTTAATTAGAAAATATTTCCTATCCTTCCAAATGATACAAAATATCTGAAAAAAATTATGTTTATGATCCTTAAAATATAACGTAATAGAAAATAAATATAATTTTACGTTAAGTTTCAGACCATAAAAATTTTTTTTCCCTTCAAATGTTTTACATAGGAAAGGCAGAAAATATTTTTATTCTGATTTCGTGAAAAATTGTTAACAGGACTGAGGCCTGTTGACAACTTTGACTGACTTTAACCTGACTTTCTGCATACTGGGCTGCATAAATTGGATTGATTCATAAATAACTTTGATTTCGTTAATTTTATTTGATTCGATTTGAATTCATTTGATTTTATTCGAATGATCACCTTTTAATACAAAAATCAATGATTTAATTACGTATAGATTTATTAAAATCACTTTACTCAATACTATTTGTAATAGAAATGAATTTAAAATAAATTTTAAAAATTATTTTCAAGCATTTTTAATTTACTAAAAACTTATTGTCATACCAGAGCTTACTAGAATTTATTTCTGATTCAAGATAATAAAAATGTACGGAGAAAATATGTACAAATAAAATTTATGCATAGACCGCAAAGTGAAAACGAAGAGCATCATTTTTATTTGTTACTTATGGCGGATTAGGAAGTTATTTATGACTCAACATAATGAGAATTTTCAGATAAAATATGTTACCATAAAATTTGTGCATAAGGCTCAAAATGAGCTTCATTTTTTGTTAGTTACTTATGACAGATTCGGAAGTTATTCACGACTCAACATAACGAGAATTTATTAATAAAATATTTACAAATAAAATGTGTGCATGAACTACAAAATGTACTTCATTTTTAGTTAGTTACTTTATGAAGGACTAGGAATTTATTCCTGACTCAACATATGAGAATTTACTGATAAAATATGTACAAATAAAACTTGTGCATAAACCGCAAAATGAATATCACGTATATAATTTTTTGTTAGTTATTTATGACTCAACATAATGAGAATTTATTAATAAAATGTTTACAAATAAAATTTTTGCATTTACAGCACATAATATACTATGCCTCATTTTTTGTTGATTCTTCAGGACGAATGAAAAAGTTATTTAGGAATCAATATAAAGAAAAATTATTAAATAAGGAAATAAATTTATGCATATACCGAAAAATCTGAATGATATATCATTTATTTTTTGTTTATGAACATGTTAACAATTAGAACTCGAGTTAAGTTCAAGTAAATAATGATCCAAGTAACTACTTTCATGTTTTTACAACTTCTCAAAGATTATAAAATGTAACTACATAAAATAATTGTAAGGGCATAACATTATTTTTGTTTTCAAATATCCATGATTTTGCTGAAGAAAAAAAAGCTGAAATTATCAATAAAACGAATATTAATGTTAGATTTGTTTCTATTTGAAGTAAAAGAAAGTGGCATTCTTAGTAATTTAAGTTGTACTTAATTCAACTATTTTAATAAGATAAGTGTAAAAAGCTGATATATGAATAAAATATATCAACAACACTAACATGAAAAATTCCTGAGCGTCTTGTTTATTTTTAGTTAAGATCTCCTTAATGTCAAGTGTTGTTAAGATGTTGTTAAGATCGCCTTAATTTTCACTTTATAATCCTTTATTAATGTCGTATAAGATACCCTTCATTTATATTCCGCAAAAGAAGTTTTGAAGAGGAAAGTCTTCAGGTAGAAAAATCATCTCCTTCACAATATAATAAATTAATTCTTTTATTTCTTACATTATCCCATTATCCATAATATACTGTGGGCCTAAAGAAAAAACGGACCACCTTGAATAACTTTTGAGCTAATGATCGGATCTTCACTTACTAGTACTCAATCTTAATGGCTTAAGAAGGCGACCTCTAAAATGCTATCTATTTAGTGCAAAAATGATTTTAAAGTTTCGAAACCAGACGCAAAAATGTTTTTTCTCGGAAAAACATCCATTGATTTGGATTCCTGACTCTAAAATTATGGGAGTAACTGCAATCTGGGAAATATGGTCTAAATAATTTGTTCAGGAGAGCCGTCGAAAGTTTGAACCCCGTAATATAAACTTCACTTTCTGCGTATTTTGCCATATTTCGAGAATTTTTTGAGCAAATTGAACATTTTTTGCACGCAATTATAAAATTCTTTTATTCAAAGATAATTTCATGCAGAAAATTATTTTAAATAATTACATATTATTATTTATTATTATTCTTTTTAATAATCGAAAAAGTTTTGATTGTAAGTTAAACATATTTTTACATCATTTTAAAGAACGTAATTTTATATTGTAAAATTTGAATAGAATCTTCCTGAGAATCGAATCGTATGTTTAAAATTCGATTTCTCTGGAACTATTCGACAGATTCGTTCAAATATGGATCATAAAATTAAATTTTTTTAAATTATGTAACTTTTTTTATCCCTTACTATAAATTTGCTTTGACTATTATACAATTAAATAACAAAAAATAATAAATAATTATAAAAAAATACTTTTTGCATGAAATTATCTTTGCAAAAGCGAATTTTTTAATTACGTGCAAAAATTTTAGAAATAACTTTTTCGGGACAGGGCGAAACATTCAAAAAGTAAAATTAACATTAAGAGGTCCAAACTTTCGACCACTTTCCTCTCCAAACTATTAGGACCATATTTCCCCGATTGTGCCTACAACCCAAAATATTAAAGCCGTTAAAATAAAGGTATGTTATTCAGAAAAAGTTACGTTTTTGTATATGATTCCGTCTACACTAATTAATTAGCATATTTGAGGTCACCATCGAACATTCAAGTTCCGAGCATTAAATCAAAAGTTATTTAAAGTGCTTTTGGCGCATTGTACATTATAAGGAAAATGTATTCAGATTTAATAGTTGATGAAGCCCGGATAAGAGAGCATCAAACCTTAACTTTTAAGTGAACCTTGATTTGCTGCATCAGAGAATCCCTACCTTGTGCTTGTCACTGTATTGATACACTTATTTGTATCACATTGAGACTCCTATTATCCTAGACACTATTATCCTATTATCCTAGACACTATTTTGAGACTCCTTGCTCGGATGATGCAGAGCAAGGAGTCTCAAAATAGTAAGTGCGCCAAAAACATCGATAAAGTGAGCCAAAGGGTGAGTTTGGCGAAGTTCCCTTTTGCTGTAGGGGTTGCACCCATTTAGGAATCAGTAGAGAGTTTGCATCCTGGTGAGTGATTCCTAGATTCTCTTCCCCTTTTATTACTTAATCAATTGTAATTATGTAACCAAGAATATTTCTATAATTAAAATTTAACTTTAAATATGAGTTTTCTAATTTTAACTAAAATTAATATAATTCCTATCAATGTGATACAAATAAGTGTATCAATGGTGCCGTGACCCAGGATGCGTCATCACAACAAACAGGTCACATCTTCCCAGCTATGCAAACTCTCTACTGATTCCTAAATGGGTGCAACCCCTACAGCAAGAGGGAACTTCGCCAAACTCACCCTTTGGCTCACTTTATCGATGTTTTTGGCGCACTTACTATTTTGAGACTCCTTGCTCTGCATCAGTATCAAGAGAGAAAAGCGATTCGAACCTAAATTGGGCGTATTTGTACCTACCAGATAATAATTCTCCAAACAAAATTCCCGGATGCTTATTGAAACTCTTGGAGCACATGAGTCATCGATTACGTGCGGCTTTTTTTTAATTTTTCGGGGCGGCATCCGTTGTTTTCAAAGTTTCGTGGATCTGTAGACCTAAGACATGTTCCGACAATCATTGCTCTACTTTTAAATCACATCAAAAGTTATTTAAAGTGCTGATGCTCACTGTTGATTTCAGGTAATTATGCTCACTAGATACAGTGGCGTGCAAAAGTCTTCATCCTGTATTGCTCTAGCTTTTGTCTGCTTATAAATATAACTACAAAAATATACATAAATTTTTTAACAGATGCATATAAAAACTGTGCTATTTTGTAAAAACTGTTTTTAAGCAATTAATTTTCATTCCAATCAAATTTGAATAACAACATACCAGCTGGAGACTTTTGCACGCCACTGTAAGCCCATTTAAGATAAGCTGTGATTCTCGAAGATAAAACCTCTTCTTGAAATCTCATAACCATACACTTT